CACAGGACTCGTAGTAAACTGCTAGTGTGAAATAGCAGAAAGTTATTAAGACGGTCCACACTTACAGCTTGGGTAGATGTCAAACTAAGTATGGTAACTTTGGAATGAAAGATATGTGATAACTCCTTTAATACACAAAAACAGCTGAATTTGTCCTGTTCATGTGTTAAAGACGTGCATTTGGATGCAGTGTGATGGACAGCATGTTGTATTGTGGAACTAGTTCATGTGGACTGAGGCAGGTGATTTGTAAGGGCTATGACCTGCTGTAGGTCCACTGGGTTGTTCGCTCCACCGGTAAACCGTCACAGGATCTAGCAAAGAAAAATGCAAATAGAAGAAGTCATCAAAAGTGTTTAAAACTCAATCATGTCAGTGCTGGATTTACTGGATTTTTTTCCCTCCTTTTTGTCACTTTTCACTTGTTTGGTCACTATTTCAGGGCTGCAGGTGGCTCAGTGGTTAACACCGTTAGCGCCTCACAGCTACAAGGTCGCCGGTTCACGTCCCGGTGAGGACACCCGGGATCTTCCTGCGTGGAGTCTCCATGTTCTCCCCGTGCAGCGTGGGTTCTCTCCGGGTTCTCCGGCTTCCTCCCACACAGTCCAGAAACATGCTGAGGTTAATTGGTGATTGTAAATTGTCCGTAGGTGTGAATGTGAGTGTGCTTGGTTGTCTGTCTCTAAGTGTAGCCCTGTGATAGACTGGTTACCTGTCCAGGTGAACCCTGCCTTCACCCTGAGTCAGCTGGGATAGGCTCCGCCCCCCATGACCCTGGTGAGGATTAAGGTGGATGGATGGATGGATGGATGGTCACAATTTCTATTTTTGGTGCAACTTAAGAAGATCTGCAGTAAGAAAATGTTTTAAATGAAGCAACGGGTAAATTTGTTTGCAGATGTAGATAAAGAGAAAGTAAAGCTGGAGGACAGGATGTTACATACGGAGCAGCACCTTAGTCTCTCTGTATTTCATTGTACATCACACTTTTCTCTCGGTCTCTGTGGTGACATTCTTGCACTCGTTCACTGCTAGTGATGCGTTTTAGGTCAACCGGCAATAATTGGTTTGCCAGAGCTGAGGAGAGGAGCAACCATAGCAACGGAACGGAGCAGAATACAGCAACTAGAACAGCAAAATAATAGCCGGCCAAGACAAACCCACCAGTGAGCTTAAAGATGCAAAATGCTCCAAAGATCTGAGAAGGAACCACTGAGGGAGACAAAGTCATGACAGAGAAGTCCTGAGCGGTGCAACTTGAAGTGCACCGTGACAGCGTGGGAGCTCCAGGGAGTCGGGAGGAGCTCCAGGGAGTCAGGAGGAGCTCCGGGGAGTCAGGAGGAGCTCAGCTCTTCCTTAAAAGACATGAGCTCCCCGAAAAAACGGGATCTGTCACATTTTGTAGGGTCAGTTTTTTGTCAGGAAATTTTTTTTCTTTCTATTCTTCCTCCTGGATCATGCATAAACTATGACTATTATTGATTTATGATTCATGCATGAGGGGGATTATTCTCTGCTTCACTTGAATAAAGAAGCCAGCATGTCCTTGCTGTCCAGAAAAAGTGAACTTTCTTGACGTCAATCACCATGAAACACAGCCGAAGAACAAACCTCCTCCTTGGTGGTGCTGAAAGGCAGTTGTGACTACTCCTTTTTATTATTATTATCATCATTTATATTCTTATTAAAGAAGGACTGATAAATAAAAGGTAAATCCATTGTTTTGTAAATGGTTTCCGGCCATGAAAAATGAAAACAATTAGCTCTAAATGAGATTTAAGTGTGTGTACAAAAAAAAGAAGTTCAGAGTGCTGCAAGAAAAAAATGAAAATGCAAAGAAAAAAACAATCAGTTCTTTGGCTGAATCTAAAAACTCCACATAATAAATACTACGTGTCCACAACGTCTGACCGCACAGCGAGATTTGCAGGAACATCTTCACAGTTCCTCTCAGGGCATCATTATCACTTCATTTCATCTGAAAAACAAGAACTTTGTTTGGCAGCCAAACTAGTGGAAGAACTTTTTTTTTCGGCTCCCTCAGGCTAGAAATTCATTTGCTTTCACAAACACGGTCTGCAGATATATAATTGTTTTTTCTGGTTTACTGTTGGACCGTCAGAAGGCAGAAATACAGACACTGCTCGCCTGCTGGGTTAGCGAACACTGGATGCCTTTGTTGATGTCCCTTCTTCCCCTCACCATCTGTTTTAGGCTGAATACTAAGGAGCCGACAAACCTGACTCACCACCTGAATAAATGCATTTCAATACAGAAGCCTCACGCGCTGGTTGTATGGTAGAGGGCTGCGGTGACACTGAGTCACCAACTCGGCAGCTGCATGTAAAACTGCTTCCTCATTTCCATGATGAAGACTCAGGAGCAGTCTCTGTTGGGAGGTGTTGGGTATTTATGATTCCTACGTCACAGCCAGCAGATACGGTTCCACATGGCTCTAGCTTTGCATGTCCGTCGCCCGTGGCGTGCAGGAGAGTTACGTCGTTGTGGGAAAGTCGTAAACATGTACAATATGTGTTTCATTTTCTGGCATTATGTTTGAGTGCGCTGCAGGGTGTGTAAAGCAGCAGTTCAGACACAAAGTCAATGGAACGCAGCCCACCAGGTAACACAGACAGAGTCATTAAGGAAAGCCGGTTAACGCACCATGTACACATCATTTCCCCAGACTCTCCGTGTTTCAGTGCGCTTGTCCTGCTACATCACAAACTTGACGCTGACAGAAGGTGTGTTTGCTCATTCTCTGCTCCACTGGTCCTTGTATCCTTTAATTATATTTTTTCTTGTCTGTCGCTGCTGTTACACTTCACTGCTCTGTTTTATTCTGTGATCACGTCGTGTCCGACGGGATGTTTTCTCTTCCTTCCCCGACTCTGACACGTCTACAGCTCTGCGTCAGAACCGTACACTGAGCCTGTTGCATGCTTCATACATACACATGTTGCTTAAACATACCTCTGTGCCAGAGTTGGATTTTTTTTCAAATTTGCCTATTTGTTGAGCAATTGACAGGTGACTATACCTTGATAATGGAACTGGTAATCAGTGTGATGCATTATAGACAGATGGTCATCTATTAGGGCGGCTGTGGCTCAGGTGGTAGAGCAGTTGTCCTCCGGTCGCAAGTCAGTGGTTCCATCCCCTCCACAGTCCAAGTGTCCTTGGGCAAGACACTGAGCCTGAAGCTGCTCCCGATGGCAGGCAGCAGCTTGCATGGCAGCTCTGTCACCACTGGTGTGTGAATGTGTGAATGAGAAACACATTGTAAAGCATTTCTGGATAAAAGCGCTATATATTAGAAGTTTACATTTCCACAGCTGATCACAGCAGCATGACTGTTTAAGGGCAGCTCAAACCTTCATCTGACTTCCAGTCGCACCAGCTGCCCCTGTGGGACCTCTTTCAGGGCACATAACAAACCCTACATTGTTCTATCTGGTACGTGCTCATAGAACTGGAGTTACATCCAGTAACTGCTGTTTGTCAAAGTTTGGCACACTCTGAGTTAACGTCACGGTCTGAGTTGTTGAATCCTACACTGTACTGGAAGCAGCAACGCTGAAAAACAAATTATTCAGAATCTGATTCCTGCAAACATCCACACTGTGCGACAGTATTCTGCAATAAATACACAACGCTAAACACAAAGGGCTCTGAAGCAGCATCAAACATTCAAACATGTACACCAAGTGGACCAATAATTCCTTTGGGGAACATGTGCTGTTTTAATTTGCTTACTCAGGTTTGAACAGATTGTTTTGTTCTCTGGTAGTAAATAAATAATTCAGTTTTAGATCGCATTGGGTAAGATGTTCAAACCAAGAGGCAAGAGCTGAGTAATCAAACCAACCCAGAAGTGGCACAAAAATGCAGTTCCTTGAATGTCCACTTGAGGCTGGCGTTAGAAGCGAGTTTCTCCTCATTGACCTTCATGTTAAAATGTTTAACTTTACAGCAGAAATAATCATGTGTGCAGCCCGCGACAAAAACTATTTTAGTCTCTTTAGCTAATTTTCCAGTTTCATGACAGTTTACAAAGAGTGATTTTTATTTATTTATTTTTATAACTTGCAAGTTTAAATTGTATTAAAGCTCATAGTTCTGCATAATTAACCCTTTAAGGAACCACATATGGTAACTTCTGCAGGTTTCAAAAATGGCAGGGGGCAGAATCACGTGACTTCATGCAGCCAATCAGTGAAGGTCAGGCTACATCACAACACAGTCACTGTGGCCTCTGACCAATCACAGTGGGCCAGAGTGATATGTGTCACAAGTTCCCGAAGTCTGACTGGTGATTTGGAAATAAATGTTCCTTTATCTTTGTTTGTGTTTTTTCCAATAATTTATACACAGATTATCTGGAATTATTTTGTACCCTAGGTGTGTTGACTTTGATTTGCAGCTTAAATCTAAACTTTTTTTAAAAAGGTGGTAAAGAAAAAATGTCCTCTTACATCCACCAATAACACTCCAGGGTTGAAATTTTAAATTTCCTAGTAGTTCAATGAGTGTCTGTTGAGGCCAATAACGTAATAAAAGTCCTGAACCAATAACGTAGAAAGTGCAGATTTATTACATTATCGGCCGTTGGTACGTTATCGGCTGTTCTTACATGATGGGCTTCTCCAGTGACCTACAAACAGTTAAAGGCATGGTCACTACCATTACAGAACAATCCAGGCATGTTTGGTGGCCTTGAGCCGCCACACTGAGCTTCAAAGCCGCTCTTCAGAAGACATATGGGTGACAGCATGGAGGATTTGTTCATCTTTATATTTTAAAACAAGTGCCCTTATCAGACGTAATCATAAAAAGATATTCTGGGTTTGACATGAGCAGCGTCACAGCAGTCAGGAGATGTTGAAACGCTGAGATAACCAACAAGCTGTTCTTACCACTGATGCCTCCACAGCAGTTGTTGTCATGGTCTGTCAGTCGGCTGTGAGTGAGCTGACCGTCTCTATCTGTGTGTCCAACAGGAGGGAGACTCTCTCGGGGCGATGGAGAAGGTCTGTCGTCAGCTGACCTACCATCTCAGCCCGCACTCTCAGTGGAGGAGACAGGGCCTCCTGAAGAGGAAACCTCAGGCCTGGTGAGTGTCTGTGAGCTCATGGTTCAGTATGTGACTCTGTTTTTGTTCACATCTCAGTGTGTCACCAATGTGTCATCATCTGCTGCTCCTTTGGATCCCATGGAACAGCCCACTGATGGCTCTGTCTCTTTATTTTCTCACTCGCTCGTACACACAGTTGGAGATGAAATCAGTGCTCTCTGTGTGCCACCTTAACTGCCTCTCTCCATGTTTCCTCTCTCGTCGGATAGTTCTCATCTGTGTGCATGCATTACTACCTAAATTATGTCCATTTGTGTTGTTTCATCTGGATTTCAGTGCAACTTTCCCGATGAGTCTGCATTTGGAGTTTTTCATTTAGAAGGTCAGCAGCCAAATGAAAATGTAGATTGTGGTTGGATTTGATGAATGTGCACTGCAGTGTTACACAATATGCAAATCAGCCATCAAAAGCTAATAAAAACCACCGTCCCATGTGCATTAAAGACTTATGGTAACGCTCCTACAAGCTGAGCTCAGAAGGAAACATGAATCAACTCCTGATGTCTGCCTCAATGAAAACACTGCATTTAAAGCATTTGAAGTGTCACCTGATGCTGTTCTCACTGGTTCGACGTCTCTGTCTGGTCTCTGATACCTGACAGAGCTGAGTTCATTATCTCATTAGCAAGCAGACTGAATTGTTTGATATTTCATTACAAGAATAAGTGAGAATTAATTCATTATCGTCTTACCCTCCAAGCGGCAGCTGAGTCGTGATGCAGATCATGGGTACACGTATCATGGAAGAGTCCGGCTGGAGAAATGATGTGCTGTGACGTGTAGGGAATCGATCAGAGGGCAGCTCCACTGCTCTGCTGATTCTACAACTCAAAGGCTGTCTGCCAGTGTTGGGCAGCACTCCTGCATATGTCAGGAACACAGTTGTTTTTATAAATGTCTTGTGTGTCTGACAAGATAAAGGAGTTATAGGAGTGTCGTGCTGAATTGGTAGACGACTCCTGATCCAAGCCTTACCACTTTGAAGGACATGAAAGGACATGTCAGAAAGTGTTTTGCATCAGCAGTAGGACCTGATTGCACCAACAGGGGAAGCCTCTTGCTGTTAACTCAGATGGACGACCATTTGCTGCAGAATACAGTAGCAACAACAGGAGGCGGTCACTGGGGCTACAAGCGGTTCTATGTTTCCAAGCAGCATTGTGGGGGTTTAGCTGGCCAGCAACGGGTCACCATGACAAAGACTTCTGTGGTGGTTAATGACATCCAGCCAGAGACGGCATCCCAGGAGCACGTGGAGTCCATTAGAGTGTCTTTAGCTGAGTGCTTCATAAAAAAAATGCCTTTCATGGCTAATGATACATCCATCATCTCTACACCTGAACCCTCACCAGGGTCATGGGGGGCGGAGCCTATCCCAGCTGACTCAGGGTGAAGGCAGGTTCACCTGGACAGGTAACCAGTCTATCACAGGGCTACACTTAGAGACAGACAACCAAGCACACTCACATTCACACCTACGGACAATTTACAATCACCAATTAACCTCAGCATGTTTCTGGACTGTGGGAGGAAGCCGGAGAACCCGGAGAGAACCCACGCTGCACGGGGAGAACATGGAGACTCCACGCAGGAAGATCCCGGGTGTCCTCACCGGGACGTGAACCGGCGACCTTCTAGCTTCTACCTTGCGCTAATGTTACATGTCCATGATAAAAAATATTTCTCTCAGCATATAGAATAATGTCCAGTTTGCTTAATTTGTTCTAACAATTATATTACAATTCTACAGTTTCATTTTGCAGACACTTTGATCCAAAGCGACGTACAATCATTGATTGATCACACTGTTGACTATGAGTAAAGAATGTAATTTAAAACTTGCATTCGTATTCTGGAATAATATTTAGAGGGGTTACATTTGTCAGTGTAACGTCCACATGAAGGCCACGAGCCAAGGTTTCCCCACAGAGCATGAGCAAGATGATTCCTTCTCTCACCTGTCAGTGGTTTTAATGTTGTGGCTGATCAGTGTATAGCCACTTCATCTGTGTTTTTTTCACCAATATGTGGAGAAAATATTCAATTTGAGCTATGCAATTGTTTAATGCTAGACTTTTAACAATAGAATATGTATTTGATGGAGTATTTAAGTGCAAAAAATGCCCTTATGCAGCTAAGTATAGTTTCAAAAATATCAGCAGCAACATAAAAGGTCTGCAATATTTATATAATTGTGTTATCATTGTATCATAATAATTTTGATCCTAAAAAGATGAAAACATGTTCCTCAGGCTGTAAACCTGATCCCTGCGTGATGCTGCACGAGCTAAATCCAGCTCAGAAACATCCCGACTTGTTATAAAATGCATCCTGGTGGGAGCAGATGGCAGAAGAATGACATTGTAGCAGCAAACATTTGGAGAAAGGATTCCCATTGCTCTGAGAATGTGAGGATCAGTAGGAAATGAAATCCTCCTCCTCAGCTTTCAGCATAAACACCAGGTGTCACCTCCTCTACCAAATGTTTTGCTCACAAATGCAGGAGTGTTGAGAAGGAGGAACAACAGTTCAGTGTGTGTGTGTGTGTGTGTGTGTGTGTGTGTGTGTGTGTCAGGACCTTCACAGTCAACAAACATGATGTGCTGCTTTCGTTTCAATAAACAGCGAGCTCAAAAAGTTGCTTTTGAAGCAGTGCCTCACCTTTAATGGAATTAAATGACAGCTGAGGATGAAAATTAAAATGAGTTTGGTAATTATCTTAAGTAATTCTGGACTGGTGGATGGGATTTAATCAGCGCTGTGTTGCAGTCGGCACTCGGGGCTGTCATGAACTCCAGTCAGACTGATTAGCCAGAGGACAGACAGGCCCCATTTACTCTGAGTCTCAGGGCAAGAGATGAGATTGAATCATCCGTTTGCATGGAACACACACCATTAACCAGTGCCCGACACACACACACACATATCTGAATGCTAACTACGTCAGCCCCTCCCACAGCCAACACAATCGACGGAAAACTCTTCTAAAGAGTCCATCCCCTGATGGTCCCCTCAGCTGTCTGCCGGTTTGATGGCTTTTTGTGGCTCTTTGAACTCACATGCTTCTATTCTGTCTGCGACCATAAACTGTACATCAGCACACATCTCTGAGCTTTATCTGAGAGAAGCGGGCTAGTTTTATTATCAGCTGCATTAATCAGTGACTAACACACACATGAGAGCAGCGACATTGTTCACCTGCACAGTGATCGTTCTGACTGATAGATGCAGTTTCTGGATGAACTCGCTGCTCGTTCTGTCATTTAAATCCCATCCAGCTTTTCTAAAATTCTGTCTTGTATTTTTCTGGGTTTTTTTTTAGCTCACCGTGAAATTAAAATTTTGGTAAAAATGCAGGACATTTCCTTCTCTTTTAGAGCACTTTAATTAATTAGGGTTCATTCCAGCAGCTGTCAGAACGCTGAGCTGCTGATCCAGACATGCAAACACTTGTTTATTTAAATTGCTTTAAGTTCCTGGATCCTAGAGAAACACTCTTTCGTCTTACCTGCACTGCTGTGGATGTACAGCACCATGACAATCAACTGGATTTGATCTGATTTGATTTCATTTAGGTTAGCTTAGCATTTTTTAGGCAGTTAAGTGCACATGCATGAACGTTTACGTAGGTCGGGCCTGTCTAATGACTGGAAGGGACCAGATTAATCAGTGTTTTGTTGCATAACTTCACTGCAAATGTAACGCATGTCTGTGCTTGTTCTCCTGTCATTTCTGTCGCTCTGGAGAGTAGCGTTGTCCTTACTCTTAAACAAACTGGGTGCCTGATGGTATTTGTAGTTTTATATGAACGCAGATGCTGGTTTGGTCATAATGTGAATATGTTCAACGGATATAAAATTTTAATACAATACATCCATCATCATCTCTACACCTTAATCCTCACCAGGGTCATGGGGGGCGGAGCCTATCCCAGCTGACTCAGGGTGAAGGCAGGTTCACCTGGACAGGTAACCAGTCTATCACAGGGCTACACTTAGAGACAGACAACCAAGCACACTCACATTCACACCTACGGACAATTTACAATCACCAATTAACCTCAGCATGTTTCTGGACTGTGGGAGGAAGCCGGAGAACCCGGAGAGAACCCACGCTGCACGGGGAGAACATGGAGACTCCACGCAGGAGGATCCCGGGTGTCCTCACCGGGACGTGAACCGGAGACCTTCTAGCTGTGAGGCGATGGTGCTAACCACTGATCCACCTGCAGCCTGTAATACAATACATGAATACAAAAATGATGTCATGTCTTTCATGTCATCTTACGCATACATAAGTAATCTGGTTGGCCCTAAACGTAAAATATAATGAACATAATGCCCTGAATAATACAGAATACAGTTTTTTGTAACACACTACGTACATACTGCATTTTGGCCAAATCAGTACGTATATTATAGTATCGTAGGTGGCTTGTGTTCATATAATGTATATGTTTCAGTTTATCGTTTCAAAAGTCTTCACCTGAACAGATATTTCTTGCTCGTGTGTATAAGATTTTTCATAACAAGCTTATTAAATGGGGTTCCAGTGTGCTGTTAAGGCCACATTTCTTCCTGATTGGAGACATTTCTTACACTTTGTTAATACAAATGAGTACATCATTGGGTTGAAACTACCCAGTAAAAACACAGGTGGAACTTTATGATCAAAATTCAACTTAGTCATAAATTTAAGAATAGCTGATGCAGCCCAATCCGACCTGCAATCAGGAAGTCGCTCTGAACAGACAAAAGGCAAACTGCTGCTGTTCACTTTTATCAAAAAGCAGTTTCTTTGTTTCTTCTTGTTGTGCTCTTTAGAAATCATTCCTGTGCCAAGCATCACAAATTCATTTTGGCAAGTAAAGCACAATCCCATCTCCCAGTTAACACTAATCACTCATAGCAGCCCCACTTTTAGCCAGGCAAGTTTTTCTGCAAGTTCACAGAGCACGGTCCTTTCACGGAGAGAGACGG